GCCAGCACCTGTGACCGGCATCTTCAGAAACGTTAGGAAACAAAACTTTAAGACCACGGCCACACAGCCCGGAAGACCCACACCAGCCATAGTACTTCTCAACTTTAGCAACCTTAAGAGGTGTGGACTTCAAATCCCAGAACTCCCAGCCAGCATGGGTATTGGGAATTGAAGTCCACACATCTTAAAGTTGCTGAGGTGGAAAAACACTGCTTTAGAATCTTGAAAGACTGGAGAAATGGGGTGGTTCTGTAGGAGTTAAGGTATCCAGTTCACCACTTAAAGCACCATCAGCAATAAAAAAAAAACAAAATTTGGGGACCTGCCACTCAAATGATATCACTGACTGTATCAACTGCAGTCTACAGGCAGGGAACACAGATTAACTATAGCCTTGCTGTCTCAGAGCGAACAGAGTTTATATGCATTCAACACATTCTTATCTCTAACATTTTTACCCAAGCTTCTTTCTAAGGCTTACTTTGACACTGCTAATTCAGAGTTATCTGAACTATGGCTTACTGAATTAACCCAATTGCCAAGTTCAAATAATACACTGTATCCTAAATGAACCCACCATATCTTCAGCAGCTGAAGATTACATAATAGTTTGTAGGGACATTGTTTTACTGGGGCAAAGAGGAATTAATTGTTAAATTAATTGCATAGGTTTCTCTTTCCTGCACATTTGTGTATTCACACACGTGCACACATAGTTTTTATCTTCTCCCCGTAAACAATTACTTACAGTTCGTTGTCATTAAATTTCCATTATAGTTTTTTAAATGCAGCACGTAGACAAAATCTCTTGGTGAAATCAGTCCAAAGCCATAACTGTGGGTAATACTCTGATAAATGAAAGTGTCCTATGATTTAATGATAAAAAAGTCCACAAATGAAAATGTTGCCTAGCAAATTAAAACAGGTAGGTTGTCAGCTTAGAAAAAGAAACGTGTAAATCTAACTATCAAATACTATGGCTTGAAGCATTATTGCCCATCAATGGACCTTGCTTAAAAAGTAGATCTGTAAAGTCAGGCTGATGTTTTTGTGCATGGAGGAACTACCAGTGAGTGATTTAAACACTATTCACTGCAATTCTTCACTGAATAAATTAATGCACTACATATAATTGACTTAAAAACAATTCATTGCAACTCTTAATTGAATAAATCCTTTCCAGGAACCAGCCACTAAATAAGAGGTGTTGGTGGGGGCTGAATTTTGCCTATAGAGAATATGCCCTGCCATTAATTTGTGGAGAACTTTACATTTCTACATCCTGTTTCCTACTAATCACCCACTCCACAAATCTGTTTTGCAGAAGAGAAATATTGCTTGATGTTTCCAAACATTAGATGGCCCTGAAGCAGATCATTTGAGCCCAAAACCATGTTTTTAGATACAGCAGGTTCACTTAGCAAAGGTTTCCATGATTCATTCCAAGAACCATTCTTGCACTTTCAGAAACAATTCTCTGTCTTTGGACCAAGCTCATTGGCTGTGTCTACACATGCCTAACTTGGTTATTGAATTAATCCATATTTATATGGGTATTTACATAAAACACTGAATCTAAACTAACAAATGGGCTTGGTTTCCACAACACACTACACCAGTGTTTTTCAACCTTGGCAACTTTAAGATGTGTGGGCTTCAACTCCCAGAATTCCCCAGCCAGCATGC